AGGCGGCCGCTGACCTGGCCCTTAATGAGCAGCTCGGGGGCCCAGTCTACACCTCGTGCACCGGGAAAGGAAGGCTCTGGGTTCTTGTTAGCTGGCTCCAAAGGGCTTCTCTGACAACCTAACAGCGTTTCAGAAATCCTCCCGCCTTAGAGATCAAGCGCCCTAGCAAAGCGGATTGCAATCAACTAGTATTTGGGGAGGCAGGGCAGCGGAAGGCGTGACTGAGTGGGGAAATAATAAAGACAGGGGACAATTAGGGGCGCTGGGCCACCCGTCCCCTCCTCCCCACCCCCACCCCCGCGCGCAAGAGGGGCTTTGGTTTGTGCCGAGGGCCCTAGGCCGGGTCTATCTTACCTGCTGGGTGAAGGCGGCCTGCGGGGACGACGGGGACTTGCTGGGGGCCCCTAGCGCGCTCTCTGGTTTTGAGTCGCAGGGTAGATCCTTGGAGTCAGTTTCTAGGGGTGTGTGCGCCAGGCCAAAGCCCTCGTCTGCGTCGGCCATGGTGTGCCCGGGGCCCTGTGACCGCGCGGGGTCCTGCACTGGGGACGGGAAGCGGAAAGAGAGGGAGAGAGAAAGGGAGAGGGAGAGAGAAAGGGAGAGGGAGAGAGAAAGGGAGAGGGAGAGAGAAAGGGAGAGGGAGAGAGGGTTGGAAGTGCAGTTCAAGCGACAAGAGGGAGCAGTTGCAGCCCCACTTTCCGGCTACCAGGACCTCCGTGCCCAGCGGAAGGAGGCCGCAGACGGTCCGGTGATTATTTCCATTACTATTATTTTTATGATCACGCACCACCACCCCACCACCTCTTGCGAAAAGACCCGCGTCAGACCCGGAGGAGGCGAGGCCCGCATCGCCCCTGCGCAGGCTCCCCGCGCGATAAGCCAGCTGCCCGTCAAATTTGTCCGGACTTCTGGAAGAGCCAATAAAGATAAGGCCTGGGTATTTTTGGAAGCCATTGGGTAGGAACCAAAAACAAAACAAAAAAAACCTAGTGTCCTTTTGAGAAATTTTTTTTTCCCCACCCCCGTCGAATTACAGGAGGTCCTCAGAGCTGTGTTGATGAAAACTCTCAAGCTTCGGAATCGTTTTTGCGCGGCGGGCAGAGGGTCGGAAACAAACCCGCCTCTTGCAAAACCAAACACTTCGGCGGGGGAAGATTTGCAGATCCAGAAACCCGTCCGTCCGAGAGAGAATTCAGGTTCATCTTGTATCGGTTACAGGGCCTAACAGTGAAAAGCCCTCTGACATTAAGAGCCCACCCCTTTCCTCCAACCTGAAGGAACGTTAAAAACAAAAACAGGGGG